ACCTCAAGGTATTAAATGAAACTTTGACAACTGTAACAGATAGATTTGCCACAAACTCCAATGATGCATTGTGAAGAGGCAGACTAAACAACACAGCCTCCCTGATGGGCTGCAACACGCAGCAGCTGATGGCCATTAGAAAATGCCAGAGGCTGCAGGAAGGTTCTGCCTAGCGAGATACTGGACATTCGCAAGCTCATGTGAAGACTGCATGAAATGAGCACTGATTTTTCTAATTACAAGAACTACATCTTACCAAAAATACATGCGAGAATCCTGTTACCAAAGAGCTTCTGAGACACCTCAAAGATCTTTTTCTTGTATCTCTATTTACAATGAGCATGAGACAGTCTCTAGCTTGTCCTGGTTCCGGCAGGGATGGGGTTAATTTCCCCCAGGAGCTGGCAGGGGGCAGGTATTCCATCCCACATGACCCATGTGACCCATGCCCAGGCTATAGAGGCAGGGCTATAGAGGTGATGCGGGGGAGGGGAGAGCAGTCACCACTTAGGGGTGGGCTGCAGCAGTGTGGGTCCAGTCGATGCACCTCAAGGCAGTACTGTAATCGTATCTTCATATCCCTTTATCGGTGTTAGTTTTCATCTTCCCTTTTGCTGTTCTGTTAAATTGCACTATTTTAACCCACGAGATTTACCCTGTCGATTTTTTCCCACAGCTGTGGGAGTGGAGCGAGCAGCTGCCTGGTTCTTTGTTGCTGGCTGAGGCCAAACCACAACAAGCTGAAAAAAGAACAAGAGCCCCCAAACATACACCCCTTCCTTCCCAACTAAAATTTTCACCAAAGGTGAGGGTAGCAGTAATGAGTCTTTGAATGAGCACTAACTCAGACGTTAAAACAGGATGACACCTTCAAGGTGAGGAGGCAGCACATACGGAACTGAGACAGAACAAAGCTGGAAGGAGTGAAGCAAAACCTGGGTCAAGCTGGGATGAAGTGAAGAGTCTGTGCTGATAAAAGCATACTTTCTCAAGACTGTGAAATGGTACTCAAGTCCCGTCCTTCTTCTACTCCAAAACATTAGTAAATCCCAACAGCAAAGCATGCCATATTTCAATAGTCAGGGCTAATGTACCCATATGTATTCCACTGGTTAGTACTTTAGTTTGGGAATGAGTGCAATCATTCAAAGTGACTGCAGTCAATATGACACAGAGAAATTTCAGTGTTTGCTTGATCTTTCTTTCACAGAGAAATTTCAGTGTTTGCTTGATTTACAATGATGGGATTTTTTTTACCTTAAAAAAGACTGCATTTGTGTTGTGGGTTTTTTACCATAGCAGAAATAATGGGTGAGTAAACATCAACTTCTGAAGTTTAAAAAAAAAACTAGACAAGAATTCTTTTGGATACTAGAAATTTCAGGATTCAAATCCTATGCAGATAGAATCTAACCTAGATCTAGTACTTCCTATGCATACAGGTTATGAAACTGTCACTAGTGCCAGTACGATAACGTTTCTTCCTCGTCTTCTCATTCCAGGGCTAAGTGTTTTTGGGTAGATCTTCACACCAGATTCAAAATTATCATCAGTTTACTGTGATTTACTGATGAAACTTCTCAGATGCTGACCACAAACTGAAGATTCTCCACAGAGGGAGTCCTTCCTGAAAGGCATTTTTGTAATTCACTCAGCAGTAATCCAATACATAGAACCAAGAAAATAAAACCCATTATATTTCCATCTTATATCTTCTATTTGTAGTTGCTTTTAAATCCATACAAAAGAGTCTTATTTGACCCTATCAAAAAAACAAGGACCCATTCAAGCGATTACCAGTTCTGACAACTATGAGCACCCCTAGACTTTATTTTAGCCTTTCCTTGTGAGCAGAGAAAGTTTTTCTAGGGAACATGAAACATGAAGGAGTTCGACCTTTTCAGCTATAGTCAGGACTGTGTTTAGAGCTTTTGTTTCCACTGACAGCTATTGTTAAATTATTCAATGATATGATTCCTACTCTGAGAAGAAATACATCATCTTGACATGCCAAGCCTCTGGTCACAACCTCCCCAAAGAAGGGTGTTCTTTCCCATCATATTAAAACTCTGTTTTCTGATATATTACTTAACCACCGATCTAGTTACTTCTACACCTAGTGATTTCAACAGGAACATAAGCAGCACAGAGATTATAGGATTACATCATAGATTAGATACTTACCTTGTTTCCAGCTAATTTCATTACCATAAACTTGAAGTACAGTCCTCAGGAAATCTTTTGCATTAAAGCAAATAATCGGAACTTTGCAATGTAGCACTTGAAACAACACTTGCCTGCACAGAAGTAGTTCATTAACACACACTATATTGCTACTAGATTTAGTGAATCTATTTACTATATATATTTAATTAGCACCTAATACTCAACAGTTAACATAAGACATTTCTTTATTCCTGTAAGAACAGAATACTGTGTTTAAATATTAAATTCTCAATTCAGTAATACCTGAAGCTTCATGCTATAATGAATTAAACATCCTAGCAGATATACCTTATCATGCATTCATAAAGAAAACAAATCCTTATTTGACACTCAGAATTAAATGCAATCTTAATCCAAAACAGCAACTGGCATCCCTGTAATACTTTAATATACCCAAATAAGATCACAGGGGCTTCTGAGATAATACAGTATTGCAAAAATCATGATTTAAATGTTACTAGACAATCTGACTTTCCATTAATTGCCTAGAGTTAACATGCTATTTAAATCTAGTATGCTTCATCTTTGTGACATTTTTCCATTCCTTTTGAAGATGTCTATAGTTCCCACATCCATGCCATTTTAAATAGATTTCACCAATTATGTATATTAGTATATAGATTTTACTAATTATTTGTGTGATTTTTTTTATAAGCACTATTTTGGGCAATATAGAAAAATAATATTTTTAATCGAGCTTTCAATTTTATTTATCTTTGGTGGTATGAAACCACAGTACTAACTTTCAGACATATTAGAAATTGTGTAGATCATAGGACATTATTGTATATAGTATAGATCCCCTGTTAAACAGCACCATTCTTACAAGAAATAATTACCTATAGGTTTCATCTAAATGTTAACACTTATTCAATTTGTTTATTATTGAATTTTTACTGTTCATATGTACATGCTTTATTGATATGTTATTCTGAATTCAGAACAACCTATATTCAACCTAACAAGTTATTAAACTGGTTGTCATATAATTCCAATATTACAGCTGGAGATGTACAGATAACTGAAATGATTTGTTTCAAGCCACAGTGGAGCAGTGGCAGAGATGTAACAACCAAGTCCAACATCTTGAAAATGAATGCTTCGTAATTTAATAACCCAAATTCAGCACTTTACAATAAAGCGGTTCATACTGAAAGTCATAAAATATTCTAATGAAGTTTTAACATGCAACTACTATATCTAAGAATCAGATTCAGTTCTCATTTCTCTCTTTACAGAATGAGAATGGATTTTGGTTATACTAACGGCAATTTTAAAACATGATCCAACTTTTTTTAAAGTTTAATCCCACTACTAAACAGATACATAAAGCATTCACTTCAAAAATTATCTTGTAATTTTGATATAACATCATTACTGAATACTAGGAAAACTTCATTCAGGATCTCAAAAGCCATTAAAAAAGTCTATTGTGCTCAAAAAATTAAAAAATATTAGGAGAGCTCAAAAAGGACGTTTACCGTAATAACATCCATCAAAAATGTATTAGATATGAAATGCAGTTCAGGAAACGGAAGATAAGATACAAGATAAACCTGGATGAATCATATTTTTTGGTGCCACATAGCTGTAAGCTGTTCATAAAGGATTTCTAGGCGAATGTAAACAGCTCCTACCAGATTCCCAACCTAGTTCTGCACGGCTGCAGTTAGCGATATGCTGAGCCCAAAGAAATACTCTATTCTTATTTGGTTTATATTAGCCCAGGCTTAACACAGAACTAATACAGCTAATATGAAATTCGATGAGCTTGACATGTAAGGAGATTAAGCCTGTGCCATGTAACCAACATCATTGTTGCTAAAAGCATATGTAAAGCAAACCAGTGTTTTTTCCTACATACTCTCACCAAGCAAATCTCTTGTGAGCCTGTTGTTCTTGTTCCCAGAGAGACGACCATTCAGTTTTTAAATAAATTAATTTATCGTTTTCATTAGCAGCATTCCAAGTATAGTCAGTCGAAGAGTAACTGGGATGGCAAGGGTGACTAGTCTGACTCTTCACTAACACAACAACTCCTTTTACTGATGAGGTTAAGACCTGTTAAAGTATAATGACAATAGTTTCCTCTGACATGTTTTATGCAATTCTCTGAAGAAAATTTCCCAAATATTTTACAACATGAAAGCTATTATGTACACTAGAGTTACTGCATACACCACTGACACAGTAGAGGGACATGTAAGCGTTTCAGCCTTGAAATAAAAATCCACACTGACATAGTAAAAAGCAGGAAAAAATACTCCCAATTCAAACAGTCTCACTCTAAGTATACAAATGCCTGTTTAGCCCAAGCAGTTTGATTTTTTTAAGTTTTACTTGGTCACTAAAAATAAAATGTACATTTATATTTTGGTAAGCAATAATACACAGAACTAGTCCAGATTCTATGCTCCCAGTGAACACAGTTTTGCGTTTATCAGAGTCATATGCACAGGTCAAATGGTTCAACAAAACTGACTAAACACATCATTCACTAACCTGCTCCGAGTTGAGCTGTGAAGAACCATCTTGAAATATCATAGTAGTTACAAAAGCCACTGCCTGTTCTATAGTTGCAAGCAATTCTCTTTTTTCCTCACATCCCAAACTCCTGATATCACAAGGATAATTATTAGAAAATGCTGTTTGTCCAGAAGTACAGTTGTATCGTCTTTCATGTGAAGAAGTATAGGTCTTTCCATGTAATCTTCTTGTTTTCTCTGAACAACACATAGGCACATCTTGCTTTCTTTTAAGGGGAATAGCTATATTCTTTTCACCATCCTTCACATTTTTTGCTTCTACTGAAAGATTTCTTTCTCTATATCCCCATGTTGGCAAGTCTACATCCTGGTAATAGCTCACCATTTTGGTATCTTGACAACAAATCAATTCATCAGTATGTACTGTCCTGACTACCTGACCAGCAGTACTTTTTTCAGGGCTGGCAGATGTTTTTAATAAGGCAATTGCAGATTCATGAATCTCCTGGAAAAAAATGAATTTTTTTAGTGAACCAGTTATTCAACTTATTAGGAGAAATAAAAATAACCATACATGAGTTTATTCAGATAAGCTTTGAAGGAAGTGATAGTTTATGAAAAAACCAAAGAGTCAGTTTAGGGGAACCACATTACATAAAACAAAATTCAAGTATTTATCAGTAAAGATTGTTTTGTTGTTTTATATTGCTTACATCCAAAACCACCGTTTTTTTAATCTTAGTCCAACACTAAAAATGGCAAATTAAAACTGTAATATGCATCTAGTCCAGTGGCCTGTCTTCCATAGTGACTAGGTTATTAGTGACCTTTGTCTGAAGGAAGACCGTTCATTTCCATCTTTAGCGTCAATATTCAGAGCGTTTTTCATGACAACTTATTTTATTAAAGAACTTTTGGCAAGGGACCATAATGACCGCTTTGGAAATTCAAGTACACTGAGTCAAGTGGACCTCCACCAATTTCTTCAAACAACTTACAAGATTGTAAAACATAACAAAAACATATATGAAAGTCACACTGAAGAAGTTTAATCAGGTATATGAATAAGTATTATACTCCGCCTAATCCACTATGCCCAGAAGAGCTTTCTTACTCCAGATAGTCCCTGGATCCCTATTAAATAGCATTAAGTAAGAAGTTGCATGGTAATATTATGATTCTATTCCTTCATCCTTGATTTCCTTCAGAATTTTCCTTGGTATGCTTCAGGCCCTCATATTTTCTTACGGTTTATTTTGCTGTTTTGTCTACAACCTCTTCAACTGAGATAGATCCTCTATCTTGATTTCATAAACAGACACTATGGAATGGCAACCAGCAACCCTTCCAAGATTCCCCAAGGTAAATGTATATTTAACTATTTACAGATACAGAGTTGTATCTTCCCTCAATACTCCTCTTACGCCTTAAGCATCAACAGGTCTTACAATGTTTTGGTTTTGGAGGGGAAATTCCATGTATTTTCTTTTAAAAGGTCCTTCATTTGTATGTAATTTCCTTTTTTGAAACGAAGTATTCCTGTAGTGACTTATCTTTTAATGCCTCGGAAAGACTATAGTCCCTGTCAG